TAAGAATTGAAGTGATGAATAATTGTATTTATTGTCATAAGATGAAAATTTTAATATATATATATGAGAAACTTATGAAAATGAATTTTATAAATTAGTTTTAAAATACTGTGGCCTATTTAATATATTTTAAAACATTGTCCTCATATAAGTAATGTGTATCATAACAGGTCAAAAATAGAAGCAAAAGAGATGGTGGGGTTTTTTTCTTGATGAATTAGAAATATAACCATGACTAACATAATTTACAAATAGAAGTTGAAATCCAAAATTTGTAAAATTTTTCTTCCTAAATCAAATAATGCCATTTCTATCTTACTGTATTTTAATTAGCAGAGGTTTTTTGGAAACGGCATGGTACATATTCATACGATGACTCAAAATGTAACTTGGCCTGCAATTTTCTTTCGGGGAACAGAATACTCTAATTCAAATCCATTATTAAAAGGCAGATAACATGTGCACTCTCTGAAATGCCTATGACTTCACTCTTTTGATTTTATGTAATTATAAGAGAATGTTCATATGTATTTGCTTTTCAATTGGCACAGCATTTAAAAACTGAATGTCTTAAGATAAAGTGCATGCTTTCTTTTGGTCCATAAAGAATATCATTGGTTTATAAACTCAAAACTTTTGTAAATGTTTTATAATACAGTCACAGTGTAGTTTATAGCTGTGCTTATAATAAGAACTTCTATGTGTACCCTATGTGTGTATCAAAAAAATAGATACTAGTTTGCATTCTGAAATTAATAATCAGTAACCAGAACCTGTGCCTTCCCACTGTATTATTTTCTAACATCTATCAGTTCTCAAGCAAAACTTTGAACTCAATATTTTTCCAAAATTTGCAGCTCAAAGTAAATACTTTTCATTTAAACTAATTTCAGTTAACATAGGAAAACAGGGAAAACATCACCCACTTAAAAACAGCTTAAGTTTCATGTACTTCATCACTGTAAATAAACAAGGTAAACACTGACATGACTTCAGAGTATTCTTGGGTTGAAAAAAATCTGCAGTTCAAAATAAATTTCCCCTTTGGTCAACATTTTGGATGCAATTCAGAGTTTCTCAGAAAATAAACATATTTTAAAGGGTGTTTTGAATTTCATTGCATAATTTCTAGCCAACAGAATGACAGTGGTATCTTTAAAGTTGATTATATGTCAGATCAATAGCTATTATGCAGAGCTAACACAGAAGGAAGACGCAATACTCTGCTTCTGCTTAACCCTTCTACTGTGACGTGAAGAAAAACTTCCCATAGGTGGGTCCATGGGGAAATACTCTCACAAAGTGAAACTTTCATATTTGTTTGTTTAATAATACAAGTATTCTTTGCTGATAAAATGGAAAGTGAGCTGAATTTTTGGTCAAGAAAGCAAAATGTTCACTAAAGTAATCTTCATGAGAGTTTTTCAACAAAAGGGGGAAGAGTTTTACATTCTGCATAATAACAAATTGTTTTGAAGCATGAGCTTAAAATGAAAATGCCCCATTACAACAGATTGTAAAATTTTTTCTGATGCTTTTAAAAGTGCCTCAACCTTTTCTACAGCTACAGTGCTAAAGTTAAGTATTTGCTATTTTATTTAAACATTTTTGAAAAATGAACATTCTGAGGCTCTGCAGCATTATTAAGAAAAGCTGTCCATACTTTACCATGTTGTTACATGTGTTTATCTGCTGATTATAAAATGTGTTAAACAGTATTTTAAAAAAAAAAAAAAAAATGCAGAGCTGTGCTTTGATTAATTCAGTGAACAAAACATATGCTGTTGGTTCTGTTCTATGAAATTCATATATGATCAATAAAATCTTTTAAAAGAGCAACTTTGGCTTTTAGAATTATACTGCCGACCATGTTTTTTGTCCCAGTTAACTCTGGGCTCATTCTGTTAACTTAGGCAAACAAAACCACTTTCTGGCTATGACGGTAATGTCTTTTTAATATATTCTTACACTCTTTCTAAATTTTCTCTAGGTTGGAAGCTGTGTACTGTGGGTGTTACCCACTTTGTCCTAAAGATTTGGTTTATCCCGAAATATTTCCAGGTAGCTGCTTTAATGTGCCTTCATCTTTATTGAGATTTAATATATGATTCATGCTAAATTAGAAAGTTTGAAAATAAACTTAGGCAGGAGCAATTGTTTATTTGGCAAGTCAACATGTTAGTGTTAAGGAAAATTTTATGTGTTTTAATACATTAGAGTAAGCTTATATTTACCATCTGTTCTTTTAAGATAACAAAAAAGCAAGTTTTCAAATAACATTCTTCATTGTTAGCATACACATCCCATAATGATGGATTTTTATAAGCAGATCAATGTTGCTGCAATTGCTTACAGATTTTTTTTAATGATACACACAGAGAAAAATCAGGGACTGAAAGTCACACCAAATTATTTAAACAATTGACTAGTTAATAATATGCAACTGTTCTACAGGGTACATACGGCTATAGTACGAGTTTTCTGAAAAAATTCTCATCACTAAATATATCACATATGCATTGTGTTACATTAGAATAATGTATTTTAATCACCCAAAGGAGATGTCTAAACAGCACAACTACACAGTCTTATTTAGCATTAAACATCCTTGTGAGCTGAGGTAACCTTATAAAATCATGCTTAAATAATGTAAAACACGAGGCGGCACAGAGCAATATGCATTTTTAATTAGTAAAGTGACTAATATTGAGTGTGTGCTTTGAGGTTTTTGTTTCATTAAAAATGTATCTGTTTTTCCTGCAGCTGAATATCTGTATTCAACACCTGAACAGCTTTCAAAAAGGCTCCAGAATTTCTGCAAGAGACCAGCTATTATAAGAAAACATCTCTATAAGGTAGTTATTGAGAAGAGATTTACATGGTATAAACGCCATATTGAAGTACAAAGAAAAATCTTTAAAAAAAAAAAAACATTTAATTAACATACTAATGTTTAAAGGAAACATGCTAGGGAGGGATATTAGTTGTTACACTAACAAGGATTAATTAAACTGGATGCCAGTTGTATTAACCTAGGTCTTATGAAATACGTGCACTTAATGCACGATACATGCTTTTTTTTAAATTTATTGTTTTCTAAGATGACTGTCCTTTACATGTAGCCCCTAGAGGCTTATAAAAATGAACCTGGATTAATGTAACTCATTAGTTTAAAAGGAAGTAAAGGAAAGATTCTACAATTATACTAATGAGGATAAGCCTTTCTTCCCATCATAATGAAATCTTTAGTCCTCAAAAATTCAGGTGAATGACATTAGTGAAGTTTGATGTTCATTTTTGAACTACTTGAAAGGTGATTTTTAAGAATTGAATATTTCTCTTATCCAATTTAATAAAAATCCCCAGTTCCTTTAGAATGTCAGCCTCATCTCTGAATGGCAAGGGGAAAATAGTGTAAACAGTATCATTATTCACTCTCCTCGTTCATTATCTTCTTTTCCTTATTTGAATCAAGAATTTTACATTGTTGAAACAGTAACACAAAGAAGCCCTACTAAAAGTCTAAGTAATTGAACTAGGATAAATCTGCTTTATGAGTTTTGAAGGTGGCTCTAGGCCATGAGTAATATACCTTTTTATATTCTTCAAATGTAGCATCTTCATTTTACATAAATCCAGTATAGTTTACAATCTTGCAGTTTTATAATCCAGCATATTTTAATTTTCCTACATTAATACATAACCTTCTACATGAAATACAGTTCTCTGCCTTTTTTTTCTCCTTTCCCTGTTCATAGCCTAAAATACATATTTACATAGTGATACATCAAAACATGACCTTGTTTCTACAGGAAACAGTTAAACTTCAAGAAAAAGAGAGAGAACCAAAAATGCAATTTAACACCCAATTTCAAGCTCATTATCTTTCATTGTCTATTAACTTGGCAATGGTTCAGAAGGTAGCTCATAATAGTTTAAAATGCTGACTGAACAGTTCCGGCTTCAGTATTACTCCTTGAGTCAATACTATTGTATTGTATACATGGGAAGCTCCACAGAGGAAACAGTCGTCCAAGATTTACCTCAATATTTCCTAATTTTTAAAGTTCAGTAGCAGTTTTGTTTGTATGAAATATCAATCGACTAGTTTCCCATGTGATAGACTGTCAAAATATGCAGATAATGAAAATTGAGGAAATACAAGTATTAGTACAAATTTGAATTTATTTTCTATATATGACACAAAGCTATTTTCAGTGACTTCTCAGTCAAATTATTGATTTTTCCTCCTTTTGGATGAATTTTTGGTGAAGTATTTATAAATGTATTTCCACCATTAAATGTATCAGTTTGTAACATTGCTTAGCCCTGTTACTCTGCATCTGCAATTTTTAACTATTTCAAAAGTCACTGCAACAAGTTACCTCTAGTAAGAAAAGAAAGCAGATGTCCAGCTGAAATATTTTCATTCAACTATTGCCATAACATAGCTATAATTATTTATCGTACAAACAACTTCTGAAAAAAGGAATGGCAGCTTAGAGATATGTTGTTAATATACCAAATTGTTCTTCACACAGCTTAAACAAAAACTTGTATTTTAAATGATATTTCATTGAGCTGTTACATGTTAGTACCTAAATATATTTTAGTTTGTACACCCTAAAAACTTGCATCTCAAAGTTTTATAAATTAGTAATTTATGCAAAAGTGTTTATAAGAGCTTATTTATATAATTCATTTGTAAGTATTGTGTACCATGGATTTTTCTCTTATAAATCTATAATACGTTTTCACATATCCCTTCATCCATAGTGCTTAGTGATATTGTCTAAAAATTTCAAAAATTAATAAATTAGTCTAAAATTTTAAGTAATCAAGAGTTTTATGATACAACTATTAGGAAAAACTGGCATGTTGCAAGTTATAGAGTTAAAAGCACAGGAAGGACAACAGTTTTAGCTTGTGTGTTGTTATAGGATTTAAAGCCAAAAAAAAAAGTGCCTTCTAAGCCTTTATAATAATGATACAACAAGTTATGGTAATTTTTTACCTTGTGTTTTATAAATAGACACATTTTCAGGTAACATTTGCTTTTGCTAAATACTAGAGAATTAGCATTTTAGCTTTTACCTACTTTTCTTATGCAGTCGGAGAAGATCTTTTGTGCGTACTGTGAAAAGAATGTTGGGAGTTATTTTTAGATTTATTTCATTGGACAGTGCTGTTTTGCTTTTATAAAACATATGCTTCTAAGATCTAAAAGGATAGAATGTCACTGAATTCTTTAATTTGTTCCTTTTACATTTTTACACCTTATTCTTTTTTTGTTGTTAAAAGTTTACATTTTAAAATCATTTCAACTTCTTATCATATAGAGTTCACTTTAGGATAGGATTTTTCATATGGATTCACACTTAGAAATTTAATGACTAGAATAAGGCTACTAACACTTGGCTTTCTTCTCACATCAGACATTATACTTTCAATATGAGTGAGAGTTTGGTGTATAACTTGAAGCAGGATTTGAAACAGAATGCTAGTAAGTGAAAAGCAGAAACAGAATTTACTTTTTTTCTTAAAGTGACTCCATCTATCACAGAACACTTGTGTCTCTGACTTCCCACCTGAAATAGTTTCAGACCTGAAATGTGTAAATTCCTCATTTGCATGCAAGTGTGTACTTGCTCACTCTCTTTCACACACACACACACATACGCGTGCACACACACACGCATACACTTCCCTTAGGATCATTACAGAAATCTAGTACATGCAAAAATTAAATGTATCTTAATAATTTTTATAAATCTAAAACCATTTTTCTTAATTCAAGAAATATAAAACCACTTCTTAGAAAGTTTATGTCTACAGTTTAGTCATTGACTGTAAATTCATACTGTCGACACATGCTTTTTCAGGTCAGGCAGATGCACCAGATACGTACTTCTCACAGAGATAAAATAGGGACCTCTTCAGTGACTCCTAAGCCTAACCTGAACACAGGTTTCTAGAAGTGATCACAAAAGAATCAGCCATGGATTGACTTTGTAAACTAACAATAGTTTTTCCCTTCTAACCCAAGCAAGTCTAATATCGTGAAGTTGTTGCTATTTTTTTTTTTGCCTCACTTTTATTACACTATGTGAATTTACTTACTGAAAATTCTCAACAATTATTTGAGATTAGTATTTCATGCTTTTAGAGAATCCTGATCATTATATTTTTAAATGCTGTTGAAAGACATTTTATAGCTATTTCCTCATTACCAGTATTGAAATGAATGAATGTAAGGGTACAAATAGGGCAGTTGTAGAAGGTAGACATCATTCAGACTGACAGAAGAGATTTTCATTCTTGTCTCATTTTTCATTTACTTTTATTTATAAATTGAATGGTATTCTCTGGTTTAAAAAGAGAGATGCCATTCTTTCTTTTGGTTTTTCAAAGTGACTTGTAGTTTCTTAAGATTTTTTCAGGTGATAGCTGCTAATTTTTTTGTTCTCTTCAAGTTCTCCAACATGACAAAACCTTTATGACCTGTTGTTATTTGGAAGAGAAAAGAATTTTTCGAGTTCTGCCTGAAACTAATTCCAAACAATAATTAAGCTTACAATTCACACTCATTGCCCAGAAAAGCCATTTGTGGTTATCTTGATTATGTCAAGCTATCTATACCTGAACCACAGCCAAGCTACTTCGCTTCCTTCAAGAAACTGGTCACTTTACAGTTCCCTTTTAATTTGAGCTTAAACTTTAGATTTGAATAAGGTGCTGCTCACTAGTTTTAATACTGCTATAGAGTCCTTACTTTTTCCTTAAACATGATAACTTAAATGCTTGTGACATTCTAAGAAATTCTAAAATCTCTCAACTGCACCAGCACAATTAAGGCAAATTCTCAGTCTCAGTCTCTCACTCTTTCTCTCTCTCTCTCTCCCCTCTGCCTTTCCCTCCCTTCCCTTTCTTTTTCCCTCTCTCCCTTCCTTCCTTCATTCTTCACTCCTCCCTCAATTTTATTTGGTCTGGCTTTCCTTTGATTTGCCTGAATAAAATAAAAGGAAAAAGCCACTTAGCATCGCAGATATGCTTTGGCTGATTAAGATCAGTTAGAGGTTTTGTCCTTCCCTGCTTACTCATTTGCAACCTGACTCTAGGTGCTTTTCTTGGCCTCTTTATGACTCATCTGTAAACCTGGAAGAATATTTTGTTTTTAAATAGCATTTTCACCCTGAGGTACTGCTATAATGAAATAATGAATACAAACCTGTTGTAAATAGGAAGCGCTTTATAAATTTCACATAATAGCAGTAGTGGCATTTATCTTTGTGTCTTAATCATTTAAAAGTAAAATTTACATTAGCAAAAACTTGTATGTATAGTGTTATGCCTTGTGTTTTATGAAAGTTAAACGTTGGATGATGAACTTCCAATGGCTGTCATTCATAACATAAACCAAAAAATATGTGTGCAACAGAATATACCCATTTGCAAAAAGCGGTAGCCTTCTTCTCTGGTTGGAAATACAACGACACTTTAAACCAATCAGAAATTGAGATTTCCTGAGGTGATGAAACTCAAGAACCATTTACTTGGTGGCTTTTTGAAATGTAATTGACGTAAGTGATGCAAGTTTGTGATATAAATTTTCAGCATACTTTCATCTTTCAGTCATTAATGCTCTTCACTTCTTTCTCTTCTCTCCCTCCTCCTCATTGCAGGGTGAAATCACTCCATTTTCTTGGGCAGCCCTACATGGTAAATTCAGGTCTCTGCTTACAACAGAACCTAGGGAAGATTTGTGACAGATGGGGCTAAGTCACAAACTTGCAGCCTAAGGCAGAATCTGAAGAACTTTCCAGAGTGTGCCCATATTTACCTGATCAGAGAGAAAAGAAAATCTGCAGAGGAAGCTGAGCCTGGCTGCTTGTCATAGCTGACACAGAGCCATCTGCCACAAACCTGTGGCGGCTTCAGATCTCCAATCCCTGCCACCACCCCAACTCAAATTAAATACAGATTCCTAGAGACGTTATGATGGTTACACATGTCCTCGGCATCACATGTAGGAGACTGTTCAAAAAAATATGTGGCCTGTTGTATAACCGCACTCATGTATCCCATATGTGGTGCCACATTGAATTTCCGGTTGAATCCGTTTTTATCCTTTGTACTGGATGACATGGTGCCTGAATTCTTTCTTTTCGCCGACACGATGGCAGCCAAACTGCAGCTTCAAACGCTCACACTTGGCTGGGTTTCTACCTAGGTTGCCAGGTTATCGTCGGAGCCTTCTTGTGTCCTCAAAGGGCCACGAGGCCTGTAAGGAGGATCAGAATGCTTCGGAACTAATTGGGCAGGCATCGCAGAATTGTTTGTGGGCAAAGGGCTGCTTTAGCACTTTTCTTTTAGCAAATTAATGACTCTCAGGCATAGGTTTTTAAGTGAAGGTATTAATAAGAGGTCTGGCAGGTATTCCCATGATTCACATAGTTACATTTGCATTTCATTAATCTTAAAGAAAGTTGCAAGATAAACAGCTGTAATTCGGACAAGCATGACAAACACAGTGAGGCCATCTAGCCCATAAAATGAGCACTGACATAGTTGTTTTAATTTTTTTCCCCAGGTAAAAATAGAGAAATCAAAATACTTCTAACAAAACCAGTAATTTTGATAGAAATATTTCTCAAAAATACTTGCATCCACCTACAAATATAACCTTTTCAAGATAAACGCTTGTGATTCCAATAGTCAAACTGCTGTGTTTGTTGATGTAAAGATGTTTTGAATGGCTAGATGGTAAAATAAGTTTTTAATAAAGTACCCACTGCCATTTTTAATTAGCATATTCATTTACGTATAGATGTATACATCTACCTATATGTTTCTCACTGAATGTTTTCCTTGTGACAGAGACAACGAATACAATTGTTTCTTTTCCGGATGAACAAGGATCTGTTTTGCAAATGTTTGTAAGATATTATGACATTTCCAAGATTTTCTTTGCATTCTGGAAAGCAGGAGGTAAACATTTGTAGTCATTAAGGTAAAGTCTGTTGATAAACCATCTTCTGTTTACTGACAGGTAAATTTTAACTTTCCTAGCTTTTGAAATGAATAACTTCTATATACCACAGAGTGAGGCACAGCCAGGGAAAGGTGGCTAGACAAGGGGCAAGCCAGGCTCTCTGGCTTCTGGAAGGATTGAGTAGGCTATCAGGCATCTTAGATAGAGAAGGCAGTGATTCAGAAGTCCAGTAAGGCCCATTTGACAGGTAGCAAAATTGAAAGCAGGAAATAGATAAGGTTAGGGAGTCAGACAAAGGCGTTGGGAGAGAGGCGGTATGGCATACCAAAGAAATCAGGAGTTCAGAGTCCATGAGGCCTGGGAATTTAAAAGCAGGAAGAGTAAGAAGCAGAAACAGCAAGCTCCATCTGAATAGACTCCTCCCTCCAACCTTTATGAGACCAACAGTGTGTGATGGGCCATCACAGCACTGGCTTCTAGACTCTTACAGGGAAGCCAGTGAACAAAATTACCTCCTCACCCAGAAAACAAAGAGCTAAGGACTATTTTGGAAGTTCCTTCCCGTCTAAGACTGTGGAACTCAGAATCTAGCAGGCGTGCTCCATTGGAGAGCAAAGCTAAAGATATAAATATGAATAAGAAATTCTTTGCCACTTCTCCTGGGCAGGGTTATACTTTATGCTATCTACTGGGATAAACCAGATGTGTCAGTTTGCTTCTGTCAGGTGCTATGTCACAGACAACATCTTCTCAAAATAATACTATCTCACAACCAGGAAATAGTGCTTTATTGACTTTGTTTTTCTATTCTGAAAATAATGGGCCTACATTTTATAGTGGCTAGGATATTCTACACACAACTAGTACCCATATATCTTTTCTCACTAATTGATAGGAAAAAAAAAAAGGCACTAAACATTTATGCATTTTCCTGATTTAGGCAAATATAATTGGAAGTTACCTGTATGTGGGCATTTTTTCTACAATCATAAATGCAAATCAAATTTTGCCTTTAGCTGGGGCCAACATTCCTCCCAGAACAAAAACTTACATTAAAGGTGTCACTTATTTGCATGATGCTGAGATTTGCAGTTTATAAAATTAAAAAAAAATATGAAGACTGTAATGTCAGAGTTGCTGTTCGTTCACATGAGCAATAAAAAGTTTTACAAATGTGTAATTCTTAACATTTAAAAATAGGTAAGAGTGTATGTGCATGTGCACACATGCTTCTCAACACCCATGACCTAGTGGAATGGAGTGTTATTAAATAAGTTTATCAGCATTTTGTTGGTCTCAGCAGATAATTGGGACTACAATTTGACTCATTAATTGTTTCCCTTTTCGGAGGAAGGCAGCAAATCACACTGCCGTGTATGTACCTATGCAACAATCTTGCATGTTCTTCACATGTACTCCAAAACCTAAAATGCAATTAAGAAAAGAAAAGCCATTAAAAAAATTGTTTCCCTTTTCAACCACCCCCATCATTTATTGGTTTGAGTATGTTTGATGGAAAATTTAGTCTTTTTTTTTAACTTTCGATTGTTAATTTTTTCTTTTCCAATTTTAATTGTAAGTATCTTTAAAAGTCCATCCATTATCAAGACTTTGATGCAGTGTCTTGAAACACAGTTTGCCCTAATCTTAATCTGTGTTTCTGGCTAGGTGTTTCTGTAACAACTATCAGGGCACCTGGTTCTTAACCTACTCATTTATACTGTGTTGATCAGAAATAGATGCAAATACCTTTTTTAAAATGCTCCTGGTTTAATAAGCATCCTTCAAATCCAGTTAAGCTTAAATGCCCTGCTCCTTTTCTCAATCCTTCAGACATCAATATGGCAGCAGAATCCATAAGTCCATGGAAATTCAGCCATAGAGGGCTGCATAGATTAATTTCAACACCTTAAAATGCATCTGGAAGCAAAGATTTCATTTTATATTGAAGGTGTTAATTATATTTGATATTTTTAAAAGTAAAATCTGTTTTTGAGAAAGCATCTGCTACCCAGAAATATTATGAGCCACAAAATAAATTTCACTTAGGTCTCAAAAGATACTTTCTGTGAATGATAGAATCAGTTTTCAAATGATAGTCCATGCTTTCTTTTAATGCTGACATGCACCATGAGCCTTATTCTTCTATTGACGACCCAACTTCCTATCTTTTTCAGTGGAAAATTTGGGACTGTTTAACATTAGATCTTATGTTTAACAAAGAAGAGAGTATATTATAAACCACTAACTTGAACATGTTTCATTTTAAAATTTGAATTGTGGTACAGACAACTAATGCTCCCATCCTATGCCCTCTCTTCAAAGCTATTCATTAAAATATAACTGGGGAAGTTTTAAAAACATGCAAGCAATTCTACATGCTGCTCAAAGATATATACCTGTGTGATTAAAGTACAGTATTACAGAAAACCTGGGAATTAACCAAACTTCCAATAATGGTTACATCAGAGGAGCAATGGCAGAGAAGAACAGAACATAGAAGTGGGGAGAGGTGCATTCATTGCATGATGAGCGGTCTGTTTGTTAAGCTGGGTCATGCTACACAAAGGCTTCCTGCTATTCTTTATGACCTTTCATCATGTCTTCAGTGTATTTATTGGATATACCTTTTGATAGGAGATATAAATACTTTAGGAAGCATGTTACTAGTTTTGCTATCAGTCTGTCCATAACATTTCTTGGCTTCCTCAACTATTGTTTGTGTCAGAAAACCGCTTCCCTCAGACAGTGACAGAAACGACTCTACTGCCAACTTTGCATGAGAAGACTTTTCTCTAGTTAACAGGAGGCAGGGACTTCACCCCAAACCTCATGCTGTGGAGAAAGTCAGACTTAACTATCCCTGAGTTCGTTTCTTGTGGCTGCTGATCACCATTTCTAACTGATGCCTCTGGCATTGCAAACACAAGATGGAAAACTATAGCTCTAAACTCCCTTTTAAAGGGTAAGGAAAGGAAGAAGAATGCAGATGTTAAATGAGCCCAGGCTTTTGGATCTCAAAAACTTCAGAGCTGCCTGTTAGAGCGTAAGAGCTCTCTGAGCTCCCATCCACACTGCCCAGTCCCCGTAGTGTTGCCTGTCCCCTTTCCTCTTCAAGACACAGGAGCGAATCATGGTCTCTGTCCTTTCCTTGCAGTCTATCCCAGGGGAAGAGTTCTCCCTGGTATCTGTGGGATGCCCTCGTTGCATATGAGGCACAGATGGCTTCAGGGACCAGGCTCCCCGCTCACTCTGCAGCCCATTTCTCTATACTGGAATTTGGGATCAGTTTTTTCAGGTGTCCTGCCATCATCTATCATTATCTGACTGATTTCTTATCCTCTCCCAACCCCAAGGAGAGGATCCTAATTGTTTTTATAAACTGATTTAAGGCACTGATGATTCTTAGAAGATCATTTTAAATGGTTATATTACTTTCCTATCAATTACTGCATTTAAATAGCAGGCCTGAGGTGTGGTGCCAGAAGATGTGACTCCTAGGAATACTAGTATGACCTTTCTCAAGCAATTTGAAATCCTTTAGATCTGCAAATTTAATGTTTCCAATATCATTTCACAAACGAGAAAATTAAGGCACATATAGTGACATATTTAGGAGCTGAAGTGTGTTACAGAAACAGAAGATTTTTTTGTATAAGCCTTTCGCTATGTGGTATGCTGTCATTGTCAGCCATGTGCCGTTCCGGAAGCACCAAGTGCAGTGTGCATGACTCAGTTGGACCCCTAGTTCCCTTCTATTTCTCCAGCTGGCAGGAGGCAGCAAAGGGCAGTGGGGGTGTTTATTTTTTGTGGCCCACGTTTCTGACGTTAAAAGGGATATTAAGAGACCGTGTAGTATGGCCAATATTTTAATTGTTTTTATTATTACTCTGAGTCTCCCTTTAGGGAGGCATTCAGTGAGTATACCCTGTCTGTCACAGGCCCCAACCACTCCCTATGGTCTTACCCTCTGCTGAATTCATACATTTAGGTAACTTCCCTGGGCCTCCTGAGAAGCACTTATTTTTGTAACCTCCTGTATTTGAGATGTAGGAAACTGGGGCCTGAGGAGCAGTTGACTTGCCTTGGGTCCCACAGTGGTACAGGCAGATCTAGAACTCAGATTTTCCAGGGCTCTTTCACTAGGCTGTGTTTGGGCAGTAGTCAAGACCAACTCTTCAAGAAGGGGAAAACATCTGTCTTCTCATCTCTTTCTCATCTTTCTTTCTTCTGCCTTTCACTGTCAGAAGAAATGTGTTAATAAGTCGCTAATACCTTACTCTAGATGTATTTCATGTTACACCTGCCAGTATTTGTATTCTTAATGGCCCAAAGGAGAGGAATGCAGAAGAATTGATTTCTGTACTAAAAGTTCAGACTCTGTGGTGTTTGTGATATTTCTGAACAACTGATCCTTCTCTATTGCCTTTCGAATCATACAACGACAGAGTTACTCACCCAGGTATGTATAAGGCTGACCTTCATCGGAAAGGCAGCCCCCCTCATCTTCCCACACAGGGCGGAAGAGCAGAGGGAGCAGGTGGCAGCGTGGTAGCACTTTTAACTGTGCAGCACTGGGCCTGCTTCCTCTCATCCAAAAGCGATAACACAGAAATTACATCCCGAGACTTACTTCCCCAGAAAGAAAAGGAAGGGGAGAGATAACTTAAAAAGGAGAAACTTCTAATATGGTATTAGACTGCAATTCATAGGGAAATTTGTGCCTGAGATATGAATTTCTGAAAATAGGGGGCTTTTTGGAAGGGAAACACTGACACGTCCTTAATTATAGAGTAATAAATACCAATGGTATATTATCTTTCGATATTTCCTTACACAGATATCAAAGCATGCAGCTGGTTTTGAAAACTGATAATCAAGTACAATATAAGTATATTACATCTTACACTTACAGTACACCCTTCAACTAAGAGCATCATGGAGCACTTAACGGTGAGAAACAGAGCTGCTCATAGTAGAAACCTAACTGAACAAATTAGCTTTGAATTGTAACTTAAGAATCGTAGTCAAACCAAAGCGCCTGTCCTTGCCAGGAAAGGCATTCCAAAGGCAGAGAGCATGCCAAGTAAAAAGCCTTTGCTTCAGGATTATGGAGGCAGTTCTGAAAAGCCAGCATAACTTAATGATCAATCAGAAAAATATAGAGCAGTAACTACACAACTGAAGGATGCATAAAAATTGTACAAAGCGTTAATAGTGGAATGGGGAGGTAGGATGGGATTTTACCAGCAAGTATTAAGCTCTTGGAAAGCTTCATTTATTGCCTTCAATCCGCGCAGTAGAAAGAGAAAGGGAAAGACAAACATGGTCAAAGAAAAGTATGTGGACAAATGTAGGGGGTAGAAAAGGAAATGAAGGTTAAGCAAGGCCAATATGATTCAGAATAAAAGGGAGGGAGGGAAGTATAAGGAGCCAGCTGCAATTACTGAATGTTACATTAAGAAGAGCTGAAATTGAGAGGGGGAGGTCTTGAGTATTTTACTAAGTGGATTAATGTCCTCTTCCTTGGGTGTCTGAAGTTGCAGATTTTAATTTATTTAGTGCAGGGATTTATTACGGAATTTTTAATGGGTGGGGGAGATAAACAGGGACAATTATAAACTCTTAGGAAGTAGAAAAGAGGACCATATAATACTTTCTGTAAATTTAACTGTAATAAACAGGGTTTCAAGCTATGGACAAAGACAGTCAAAAAAATGTTTAGTCCGTGATAATAGGATTTAAAGGGAAATAAGAGGTATGTCCAAAAAAACTTAATAAAGACCAAAACAAAGAAAGAAAACCCCACATAGATGTGTGAAGCCAAGGATTTTGAATGGAGCTAGTTTTATTGCTGTTCTCCTTTCTCCACCCATTTAAAAAATAAATCATAACTCTGTCATTTAAAAACCTACTCATGAACATCATTTATTAATATAAACTTAATCCTGTGCTATTCTTTGGTGGGTGGTAAGAACATGAGCTAACAACAACTGGACTAAAATGATGGCAACAGGACGATCCACTCAAACACAGGAAAGCCAAAAGAAAAAAACTAATCTGTTCCTTCACCTTACT